AGTAAAAAACAAAACAACAACAACAAAAAAACTCCCAACAACAAAGGCCAGGACTGGATGCTCTCATTGGGGAGCTCTATTAAATAGTTAATGAAGAATTAACTTCTTGAATGCTTCCAAAAAGGAAAGAGGGAACATTTACTAACTCATTATATGAGAACAGTTACCAAAACCAGACAAACACATCACAAGAAAAGAAAACTATATACCAATATTTCTTATAAATACGTACATAAAAATCCTAAACAAAATGCTAGCAAATTGAACCCAGCAGTATATTAAAAAGATTATGGAGCACAACCAAGTGGGTATATTCTAAACATGTAAGGATGAGTCACCATACTAAAATCAATTAATGTAATACATCACATTAATATAATGAAGGGAAAAAAATCACATGAATGGGTTGCAATTCAATGTTGCAGAAAAAGCATTTGGCAAAATCCATGCCCTTTCATGATAAAAACACTAAATATAAAAAATTATGTATATAAAACCAAAGGGTCAACAGCTATTTTAAACATATATGAGGAGGCTGGAGGGCAGGGAGATTAAGTAAATGGAGGCAAAACAACTAGAACAGAAATAACAGGAATGTTGACACAAAGTAAAGAATGTAACCAATGCCTTAGGCACTATACCAGTCACTAGGATGGGTATAATGATAATTAAAAAACAAAACAAAACAAAACAGAAAATAACAAGTGTTGGTGAGGATGTGAATAAATTGAAACCCTCACACATTGCTGGTGGGGATGTAAAGTAGTGCAGCTTTTGTGGAAAACAGTTTGGCAATTCTTTAAGAAATAAAACATAGAATTATCACATGACCCAGCAATTCCACTACTGGCATATAGCTAAAAAAAAAAAAAAAAAGGTGAAAACAGGTGTTGAAACAAAACCTTTTACAAGAATGTTCATACTGGCACTATTCACAGTAGGCAAAAGATAGAAACCAACAAAGTATTCATCAGTGGATGAATGGATAAACAAAACATAGTATATATATTTCATACATAAAATGGAATATTATTCAGTCATAAAAAGAATGAAGTTCTGCTAGATGCTGCAACATTATGCTAAGTGAAAGAAACTAGACTCAAAATGTCATATATTACTCCATTTATATGACATATCTAGTATAGGTAAAGGAGCTCTGGTGGCATAGTGCCTAAGGCATTTGACTACTAACCAGAAGGCTGGTGGTTCAAACCTGCCAGCCACTCCTTGGAAGGAAGGTTGGGCAATCTACTTCTGTAGAGATACTGCGTCAGAAAGCCAAAGAGGGTTCGCTATGAGTTGGGACCATCTCAATGGCAGTGGGTTTGGTTTTTTGGTAGTATAGGTAAATCTTGTAGAGATAGAAACAGATCAGTGGTTGTCAGAGACTGGGGTGAAGGGAGATGGGAAGTGACTGCTTCATGAGTATGGGGTTCTCTTTTTGGATAATGAAAATAGTGTGGAACTTGATAGGGGCGGTGGTTGTACAACACTATGATTTATACTTGTTGTTGTTGTTGTTATGTGCCGTCGAGTCAGCCCTGACTCATAGCGACCCCTCCTTGGGTTTCCGAGGCAGTATCACTATGGAAGTAGGATTGCCCAACCTTATTTATACTAGACATCACTAAATTGTACACATTAAAATGATGAATTTTATGTTATGTGAATTTCACCTCAATTTAGGGAAAAAAAAAATCTTGCTACAATGTGAATGAACCTTGAAAAGACTATGCTGGGGAAAAAAAAGCCAGACACCAAAGGACCAAGTATTGTGTGATTCCATTTATATGCAATGTCCAGAATAAGTAAATTCATAGAGACAAAATAGATTAGTGGTTGCCAGGAACTGGGGAAGTGGCAAATATGGGGAATAACTACTAATGGTTATGGGGTTTCCTTTAGAAAAAGTGCTGTAACTAGATAGAGGTGGTGGTTGCACAACACTATGAATGGACTTAATTTCACTAAATTGTTCACTTTAAAATGGGCATGAAGAAAAAAAAGAACAAAAAAAAAAACTCACTGCTGTTTTGTTGACAATACTAAATTTTATGTTATGCCTCTTTCACCACAATAAATGAATTTTTAAAACTGCTTATCTCACAGAGTGGTTCTGAGTTCTCAATGGATCCCTGCGGGATAGTGTTGAGCACAGCATCAGGCATATAGTGATTGATATTTATTATTAATTTTAATCCTCAGAAGGAAGATGGGGCAATCTACTTCCGTAGTGATACTGCCTCGGAAACCCAAGGAGGGGTCGCTATGAGTCGGGTCCAACTAGACGGCAAACAAGAACAACAGTGTGAGGGAAGGTTTTGATGGGAGAATCGGCAATTGAGGCAAGAGATCTGGGGAGGCAATGACAACCCAAATGAAATGCCTTCTATATGATTCTGGGGGCTGAAGCTGATAAGAGCAAACCCTAGCATGATTTCCAGCTTTCTGGCACCCCAAGGGCTGATGTATGACTTTTTACCTGAGAGTTTTGCTCAGAAATCTCTGTGGAAGCAGAACCGATCCTGAACCCAGTGTTCTATGGGACTCTTGAGGTGAGTAAAGTGTTTCCACACATTTTCTCCACTCAAGAAGGGTAAAACAGCTGCCCATGTACTTTGGCCATCTGAATACAGTAACACAATTTCTTTTTCAAGGTCATTGGGTCTAACTTCTTCATCTTATGATCGAGGAAAGAGAGACACAGAGAGGCTGACTTGTACAAGGTCACCAAGAACTGGACCTAGAACAATTACTGGCTAGGATGTGATCATTGTTGAAGTATGAGCCAAGCATGCTTATAGTAATGGCCCAGAGATTTGGGGTGGTCCCACCAGGGAGCCACAGAATTCTGGAACAGTTGAGATAAAAGATTCCAGCAAGCTGGGATGCTGTGCCCAGATCATATGTTAGTCTGCCTCCCCTTCCAGCCCTGCTGACAGAAATGTAATTCATAGACACAGCTCCCTGAAGAGCTCAGGAAGATAAACCTATTAAATGCAATGAAGAGTTGGAAAAGGTAGAGGTGGGGGTCCCACAACCCATAGCAAGCAACAGCTACTCTCAAAGGAGTTGGCTGTGCTTAATATCGCAGGACACATTGGAAGCACCACGGGTGAGTAGAGCATGATGAATGGATTCATTTATGGTCAGGGAAACAATAGGACATCTTTGACAAGGAGCTTAAATCCTGAATTCCTAGTTCAGTCAGGGGGAGGACTGATGAGATGAGAGGACTTAATGCTGGCAAGCCTTGTTTGGCAGCTTGGCCTCTATAAAAGATAGCTGAGAGAGCTCAGAGATCCACCCTTTCCTCCTAAGACAAGGGGCCCTGAGTGCTTAGTGATTTTATTAGTTAAATGATGTCCTCTTCCACTATCTCCCCCACTATCCCACTCTCTGCTGAAGGAAACCATCCTTAAAGATGCCTGAGCAAACTCACTGCCATCAAGTTGATTCTGACTCATAGTGACCCCCATTTGGTTTCCGAGGTAGTAAATCTTTACAGAAGTAGTAGATTGCCCCATCTTCCTTCCCTGGAGCAGCTGTTGAGTTTGAACTGCCAACCTTCTGGTTAGCAGTCAAATGCCTTAGGCATTATACCACCAGAGCTCCTTAAAGGTGCCTGAGAGAGGGCCATAAATTGAGGCAAGGAGACCCTGAACCCAAGCCTAGATCTGCTACCAAATTCCTTTTGTGACGCTGAGTAAGTCATACCACCCCTTTGGTTCTGTTTCTCCACAATATGAGGCCAAGAATGAATGAGTCTGTGTGTGTCTTCCACTTTGATATTTCATATAACTAAGACTATGCCAAGATCATGCACTAGTCTACCTCCCCCTCTCCAGTCCTGTTGATAGAAACCTAATTCAAGACAAACTTCCTTCAGAGCTTCAGGAGATAATCCTATTAAATGCAAAGAGGAGTTGGGAAAGGTATAACCAAGACTGTGTAACCTGAAATAGTAAGTGTTTTGCCTTTGCTGGCCTCACTGTTGCCAAATCTATCAGGATGGGGTCTGGTCCAGCACTAAAGAATGCTGGGGAGTGGGCAACAGGACCCCTGAAAGGAACAGAGGGGGCCAATATGACTTCCTGATCTGTTGCCTCTCATACAGACGTTCTCCAAAGGAAGCCCTCCCTCTTACCTTCACCATCCAAATTCATTTGAGAAGAAAGCAATCTAATCAAAGGTGCTCCCTCTAAGATATAAATGATCCATTCATTTTATTCTGTTATTCTGAGCCATATGCCCATGAATACAGGCAGACCTCAGCTTGGAAGCAAGCTGGACACATGCCAGGTGGGACATGGGTGTGAGGGTTCAGACTCCAAATATGTGGACCTTTGGCATGAAGCAGACAAGGAACATAGGGCTTAACCACTAAGCCAGGGACAGTAGGTTGAAAATCCCTAAGTATTTAGGGCCTTTTCTCTCTCTGCTAGAGATGAATTGTTGTCTGTCTTCAACCTCTTTTCATCGACCAGAACCTTGGACGTAGGAACTATCATTTTCTCCCAATCATTGGCAGGTTGGTCACATGTAGTAGGTGTTTGGTACATTCTTGTTGATCTGAACTAAACTGAATTTAGGGCTTGGAGCTTCATAGTTCTTCCTCTGATCCTCCAGACTGTGACCTGAACAAACTCTTAATGCCTTTGAGGACCCATCCTAGTTTCTCTAATGAACCTAAAAACCCAAAGTTAACACTTGGGCTTTTTTGATGAGAGTCCTTGGGTGGCACAGACAATTAAGAGCTTGCCTGCTAATCAAAGGGTTGGTGGTTTGAGTCCACCTAGAGGTGCCTCAGAAGAAAGGCCTGACAATCTACTTTTGAAAAATCAGCCATTTAAAACCCTTTGGGTCACAGTTCTCCTCTGACACACATGGGGTCACCATGAGTTGGAATTAACTCACCAGTAACTGGTTTGGTTTCTTTGGTTTTGGGATAGCAGGGGCTGAGTTGCTGGGGAGAAAGGAAGCACCAAATGAAAGGATACTAAACAAAAGAGGACCCATCATAGAAGGTATAATGCAACTTGATGGTCTTCTTGGGCCCCTTCCACTCTTGAGAATGCCGACCATGGTGAGCATGGTAACCAGAAGGCTGGTGGGCGGTGGGAGAAGGAGTCTGAGCACCAGAAGTGTGAGGGTGGTGGGAACTTGAGGCATGAGCTTGGTGGGTCCCCAAGTCCCCTTTGGGAGTTGGCAGTGGATGAACAGGTATCTTTGTCCTGTAGTTGCGTAATATCACCGGGTAGAAGATATTCTTCCCTCTCCACAAGGCCCTTTCAGCTTCTCTGCAGGGAAGGGGGCCAACATGTCTTCTAGGTACTTGGCTCTCACTTTTCAGGGGAGGCTCTAGACAGCTCCTCCATTCTTCCCAGCTGCCCAAACTCCCATCTCATCCTGTGTGCTCAGAATTATCCACCCCCACCCTTATCCCTTTATCCTCAAAGGGGTGCATTTAGGAAGAAGTGGGAAGGCCCCAGAGTCTCTCAAAGATTACCTATACCACTGGGGTGAGAACCTTCTTGTTCTCAATCCTGGGGCTACAATTAAGGAGTGCTTCCTTACAGGATACAGGAAGGAGGCAACCTGGGTGGCTGCCCTCTACCCAAGCTCTGAAATTCCAGTAACACTCAGTAGCCCAGTTACCCTTAGGAGATATATATGACTTAGATGACAGATGTACATGTTTTTAATCCCTTATGGTCTGGGACTTTGGAGAAATGTAGAATTACTTGCTAGGACTTATGGGGTCTACTTAATCATGAGTATCATTAATAACCAATGTAAATAGTTTTTTTGTTTCATTTTAAGAAGTGCTTCTTAAGAGGTATTTCTACAAAAGTAGAAAAACATTTGGCAAATTATGTTAAGAGATAAAAATTGGGGGCAAAGAGTCTTTAAAATGAAAAGACCCATTAAGAGAGGCCTTATCAATGAGACCATGTGCTGCACGGGGAAACAGTACTGCCCTTGAAGCCAGACAGATATGGTTGTGTGACCTCAGACAACCACTTACTGGCCTAGGCTGCCTCAGTTTACTTGACTATAAAGTGAGCCTTAATCAAGTCTTCCTCATCAGAATATAATGAGGATGAAGAGGATTATGAGAGAGGAAGGGTGTGGGGAACTTGTGTATGTGTAATGACCACTGTCATTATTGTTATGATAATTAATTGGCCAGACTTCATGGCACAACTGAGACACAGTCCCCTGACCTCCCCTTCCTGCACAAATGGGCACTGGCAACCATCTCCCTCCTTGACTATACCCTCCCAGACTTGGTATCAGAGGGGAAGGACACCTGGCCACCCCAAATCCCCGGAATGCTCACATATGACGACACATCTCCTGCAGCTTCTCCCGGGCCTCTGGGCAGGGGTCGTTGAACTCCACACTGTCAGAGGCAGAGGTCCCTGTTGCACGTAATGGTGTTGGGGTTAGGTCGTCCACTGTTTTGGATTTGCCTGTGTCACAGACAAAGAGGTTGGGAGGGGTTTATTATATTTCCCCTGGGCGTGAGAATAGAGGGAGACTGGAAGAGAGCAGCATTCCCCAAGAGTCAAGATAATGGGCATCATTATGCTTCTTGGGGGATGGACTACTTGACAGGTCACTTATACAAAAGACTTGACTCTGCATAAGTCATATATTAAGGACTCATTTGTGAAAAGTGAGGAGAGCCTGGGTTTAGGTGGGCAGCACACTGATACGGCTAACATCAACACCAAAGTCATTCCTTTTGATGCTGCTGATTAAAGACAAAAACAATGAAAAGAAAGCCTCCATTTTGTCTAAATCAGTTTTACTATTGCTCTACAGTTCACTAAGCTCAGAGCTTTTCTGAAGGGAGCAGTACATATCAATTGATGTAGGGAGCGGTATATATCAATTGACATTTAATGAAAATGGCTTGTGCTTATTGTACTTGTTTTTGCTTTTATTTCTGTAGCAAGTGTTCGATGGTCTGAGGATATGGAAAAATAAAACTGTAGAGGTGATCCTCAAATGACAGGTTTCAGAAGCCTCTACCTGGGAATGTGTATCAGGTCCTGCTTGCCTAGAAGCTCAGCTTGCAGCCATCTGATCTCTCTTGCTCTCTGCAGGCTCAGCTTCACCTTGATCTCAGGAATGAAACCTGACTTCAGGTCAGAGGGATTTTCAGGCTCCAGCTGGACCCTGTTGTTGTCGTTAGGTGCTGTCGAGTTGTTTCTGACTCATAGTGACCCCATGCACAACAGAACAAAACACCGCCCAATCCCGCGTCAGCTTCATGATCCTTGCTATACTTGAACCATTGTCACAGCCACTGTGTCAATCCATCTCGTCGAAGGCCTTCCCCTCTTTTGTTGACCCTCCACCTTACCAAGCATGACATCCTTCTCCAGGGAATGGTCCCCTCTGACAACATGACCAAAGTAAGTGAGACGAAGTCTGGCCATTCTCGCTTCCAACGAGCATGTTGGCTGCACTTCCTCCAGGACAGATCTATTATTTCTTTCAGCAGTCCATGGTACTTTCAGCATTCTTCGCCAGCACCACAACTCAAAAAGTATCAACTCTTCTTCGGTCTTCCTTATTCATTGTCCAGCTCTCACATGCATACGAGGCGATTGGAAATATCATGGTCTGTGTTAGGTGCACCTTAGCCCTCAAGGAGACATCCTAGCTCCTCAGCACTTGAAAGAGTTCTTTCACAGCTGATCTGCCCAGTGCTACACGTTGTCTAATGTCCTGACTGATGCTTCCATTGGCATCGATTGTAGAATCAAGCAACGTGAATCCTTTGACAATCTCAATCTTTTCTCCATTTATCATGATGCTGCTTATTGGTCCAGTTGTGAGGATCTTTGTTTTCTTTATATTGAGATGTAATCCATATTGCAGACTGTGTTATTCAATCTTCATCAGTAAGTGACTCAAGTCATCTTCACTTTCAGCAAGCAAAGTTGTATCACCAGCATATCTCAGGTTGTTAATGATTCTTCTTCCAATCCTGATGCCA